TTTCCTAAACGGTTGTCGCATCAATGTGAAGCCTGCGAAGCCATATACTCATCACGCCCATTGATATTCTGACTGTGGATGGTATTACGTTTTTAGCTAATGTTCCACAGACTGACAATCCTTCATGTGGTTGGCTTTCACTTTTGGAAATGTTTTTCGTTCGGTCTAAAACCTCATCACCGTACTATTTACCACAATTCTTTATTGGTTTATCTGCCTTTTTTCAAGAAATTGTAGGTTCGCTTTTATTGATTCTGTAAATAAGGAAAGATGTTTCACTATCAAGATGGGTGGAATTCTTAACAGCCCAGGTTATCTAGTATTTCTGTTAAAAAATGCATTCAGTCTAGGCGTTGAAGCTACTGCTGACTAGGTAGTCATCAAAGTCCACCACCACTACAACCGCCACCGCCACCACACCCTGAGTTCCCTTGCGTAGCTTTAATGAGAACGGACTTCTCATCCTTGTCGGTTCCCGGTAAAAGAAGAACCCATCCAATTTATCAGACGGTAGTCCCCTTTTGTAAAATACGCGTCATTCTCATAATTCTGGAGGTAACTACGTTCTGTAGGAGAAGGATCAATGACGAATTTTCGTGCCTTGAGGATTCTACCTAAATTTTCACAACAACTTCTGGCGAAATCAAAAGGACTATGAAACATTCAAAAATATTCAAGAAGTCAGGTTTTACAAACGCACCTTTCTGATTATTCATCCTCAGGCCTGTTTAGAAATAAAAGGAAGAGTAGAGTAGCAAAAGCTTAAATTGCCAATGAACAGTAAGTATTGGGAGAGGGTTGAGGACGTTCAGAGATCAGTAGTTAGGGTCTGGTTCTGCCAGGGGCTTAGGGAGGGAAAGCTGGAGGAGGAAGATGTCTTAAAGTCGGCCATGTCTCTGTTTCGTCGTTGTAAAGCGACGTAGCAAGGGGTGTGTACATAAGCCGGTTTCATCATCGGCCAGAGAAAACGTAGCGCTTGTATGAACGCCCTGTGCGAACGCAAGGTTGGATTGGCCAACCGCATGGCCACTGCCTCTGTCGTCGCAAGCATCCACTGACGCAGAAACTCAGAATGTCTCGCCGGTTCTTCATAGATGATTTGGAATGCTTGATTGACGTCTACCTGACGACGGCTGTCAACCACGTGAGCCACAAATGCGCTAGGGAGGGACTTTTCTATACCTTAGTCTAGCCAGGCAGAGTAGTGCTCTCGCATCAGCTTGGATAAGCGCACCACAGAAGCAACTGAAGGTGTAAATGCACATTGAAGAGGTCTGAAAAGGCAAAATGCACAACATCTTAGACGTCAGAAAATTCTCATATCAGTTTGTAACAACATGTTTCATTAGCTACAGTAGGTGGGCTAACTCATGAAATTTCAGCCGAAATTCAGAAATGCGCTTTTGTTTCGAAAAGAATAATTAAGTAGAGTTGTAAAACTAATTAATTCGCAGCATATTTCTATAATGATGCAGTTACCTCAGGGTGTCGGCTTTCGAATGAACTTATTTCCGACTGCATGCAAGAAATATACTCTTTAATTGTGAAACTCATAAATACGGTGAAATGGCTGTTCATAAGTCGTCACATCTGTGCATTTACAAATGTGGTTTGTAAAGTTAACAATATTTCTCAAAACCACCGCTTAATCTCATGAACCCTACATGGCCGCCCTTTATCAACGTAGAGCACTGTGTGGTTTACCGTACGCGGAAAATATATGGCATGTAGTTTGGAAGCCCTGAATCCAAGTGTGACGGTAGAGCATGTTTAAAATTATTCGGTGAATGGAAAGCTATTTTAAAACCGATTTATATTCCTCCTTCGAGCCTAAAATTAGAAGACGTAATTATCTACCAAATGATCAAAATAATGAATATTTTATGCATGTCTTCCATGAAATATAATTGGAATATTAAGAGCATCTAAAATCAATGAAAAGAATTCATGCTACATGAGTAGTCATTTTTTCTGACTGAAGTTTTTGCATGCAGCCGGAAGGAAGATCATTCGAAAGCCGGCATCCTGAGGTAACTGTAATATTATAGAAGTATGTTGCAGGCTGACTAGTTTTACAATCCTTCTTAGTTAATCTTTTCGAAACGAAAACGCATTTCGAAAGTTTGGTTGACATATCATGAGTTAGCCTACCTACTGTAGGTCACATATCGCACATATTGCCAGTTTAGCCAGCTGGTAAGGACATTTGCCAGTCGAGGGGTACAGGGAACGACCTCACAATCAAATAAGCATAAGGCCCCTAAAACACTTATGCTTTCAGCAGAAAATAATGCCGAAAAGTTGAATAAGCGTCTGAGATAAAGACATGTTGGCAGCATTCCCAAGGGGGTTTGAAGTGCTGTTCATGTTAAATCGAAAGAAAGAACGCCATCACTGTCGAAGTGGCATAACTCAACGGGGCGCCTGGCATATTTTGATGAATGTCGCTTGCGTTAGATCTGATCACCAAAGCGGTTCTTGAAGCTTTCCTTTTAACGGGATTATCTGTTCAGTATGTAGAAACTTCCGTTAACATTGTCAGTGATATTACTTTTCAAAAACATGGAGTTGGAATCAAGTCCAACATTTCGGGAATGATTTAGCAAACAAAATTTGGAGAAGCTTATTTTATTCCTCATCGAGGAAAGATTATCCTATGGGCAGAGCCTACTAATCTGTATTCTTAACTTCATGAGCGCATCATTTTATATTATATCACATTTAACTATCAGCGTTAGCAGAATTATGGGTTTCTTTATTGTCTCTGAATTTGGAGTCTTGTACTAGTTCGAAATTGCAGATAAACATAATTATTGATTTGTGATCGACCATGCACCATCTTTTCAAACTATACAGCAGACCGAAGAAAGTTCTCAACAATTTAAGTATTACGTTGTTCGCAAAATACTCTCTGATTTCAGAAACAAAAATCTGTTTTTGAGAATGCACACCACGTGTGTCAAAATTAGTCCAAATGTGATCGCTGAACAATTACATGTCCCTGTCGTCCATTAACCAGGTGACTTATGCCTCGTCGACATACATTTCCTGGATTTGATTACAGGGATTCTTTGAATCCAGATTCCACCTCAGCTTTGTTCTTAAACGGTTTTTTGCTCAAAAATGTCTAGGCTCTTGAAAACGTGGGAGTCAGTGGGTGGAAGATTGAGATAATGTGTCGAGTGTGGTAGAGTCTCGTATCCCTGGCAACATATGGCCGTGAGCTGTCGTGGAGCAAAATTGGGCCTTGTCAATTCAGTAGTGCAGGTCTCAATTTTTCCAAATTCGCATGCATTTCTTTGAGTTGCTTGCAGTAAACTTCTACTGTGATGCAAATTATAACAACAGCAGATCACCAGACTGTCACCACAGCCGCCTGCCGATGCAATCACGGTGTCAGAAAATGTTTGGGTGTGTTGTCACGAACAAGCCAATTTCGTGATCGCTTATGGTTGTTTTAAATGACACTTTTTCCGTCACAAGTCACTGTTTGATCAAAAAACTCGTCATCAGAGTTTGGCAGAGAGGAAGAATGTCGAAAACACGGCGGAAGGCCGATTTCTTTTTTCATTTAGCTTATGTAGGACGCATTTATCTAGCTTTTTCACCTTACCACTTTGCACCGGAAGGTTGGACACCGTCAAAATTCCAACGTTAGGGGCCTCAGACATTTCGCTGGCACTTTGATGCGGGTTTTCTTAAAACTGTACACTCAAAAGGTGATTGATGTCCACCACCTTCATTCTCATGGTTCCCTTTATCGGCCGAATGTTATTGCCGACAAAGACAAAGGAGACTGGAATGGCCATTTCTGGCTTGTTAGCCGTTGTCAGTCAGTCATACCCAACCGGAGATGTAGAGCACCTGGGGTTCGAACTCAAGACCTGTCAGTTAGGAGTCCAACACTTCTAACCACTGAGCCAGTTGTCCTGTCGGTTGCCATCTAAACAATACAATGGGAGAGGGGCGCTCAGCGATCGTTTCTACGGAACTCACTGGTTCCATTGTGTCTTTTGGACTCTCTCTCTCGAGCCCACCAGCGGCCGCACAGCGACGCATGATATAGGCAGAATGTTATTATCAACAAAGACAAGGGAGTCTGAAATGGCGTATATCATGCGTTGCTGTGCGACTGCTGGCTGGGCTCGAGAGAGAGCCCCTAAAACAAAACGGAACGAGTGATATCCGTAAAAACGATCGGTAAGCACCCCTATGCCGTTGTTCTCTTATTACTACATTCGTACTCACCAAACCACTTATAGACCCTGCTTCCTATGCTCTGTTGACATCAGTGACTGTTTGAGAGGCATTGAGATCGAGTTTGAACTGCTGCAAGAGAACTAGATGCATCTCCTCTTATACAATCTTTGTTATCAAGGGTTTATATGCCTCGAAATTATACTCTAAAAAATATTGTGGACGAATGGTAAAAGATTATTCATAAATTTCCAATAGAAGCGAAGAGACGAGTGCCAGGAAGCATTCGTGAAGAAGGAGACTTGATCGCCGGGACAAGAGCTTTCTAAGCCTGAAGTTTCGGATTCCTACTCGAATCCATCATCAGAGACGAAAACGCAGAAACGGGTGGTTATTGCACAAGGGGCTGCGGTATTTATAGGATGCAGTAGCCATGCTCCGCATACCTATGAACATTCACGGCTCCGGGATTGTCGCACTTGGTGTGATCATTGCTTGATAGCCGACATTCGAGTCGATAATTGCTGTAATTTCATCACGTGCGTTGGATGTTGGCATGATGATTGCTCGACCATCTGACGCACCGACCCCGGTGTTGGGAAAAGTGTTCACCTCTGCCCTTCCCGCATGGCTTGTTACCCCGTCTAGGCGTAGTTTTAGCACGGAGTATGGAGTCGGAAGATCGTTTCACTTATTGATAGACTGGGGGCCAGTAAACCATGACTGAAGCAGCTCCCGGCTCACGCGGTTGTCACCTCTTGCAAGAATTTCGGCCTTATCGAAATTGCCTGTGTGGCCGGGTCTCATTGAATGAGCCGCAACTTGAGAACTGGCGTCATTTCTGCGCACCGCTGCCGCGTGTTCAACCATTCTTGTTCGGAGCTGTCTTCCAGTTTCTCCGACGTAGTTGCTTTGTCCGCAACTGCACCAGATCCGGACTCCATACTCCGTGCTAAAATTACGCCTAGACGGGGTAACAAGCCATGCGGGAAGGGCAGAGGTGAACACTTTTCCCAACACCGGGGTCGGTGCGTCAGATGGTCGAGCAATCATCATGCCAACATCCAACGCACGTGATGAAATTACAGCAATTATCGACTCGAATGTCGGCTATCAAGCAATGATCACACCAAGTGCGACAATCCCGGAGCCGTGAATGTTCATAGGTATGCGGAGCATGGCTACTGCATCCTATAAATACCGCAGCCCCTTGTGCAATAACCACCCGTTTCTGCGTTTTCGTCTCTGATGATGGATTCGAGTAGGAATCCGAAACGTTAGGCTAATAAAACTCTTCCCCGGCGATCGTGTCTTCTTTTTCAATTCATAAATTATTAAAAGGGTAAAAATTTGCATAACACACTACAGGAATGGCAATTACTCGGAATTTTTAAAGGCAAGTAGGAGAATCAGCCAGTACTTCTCGATCAAGTAGGAGGAGGGGCGTCCTTTTGTGCTTAATTCACCGGATCCGATGTATGGTTGTACGGTAAAAAGGCGATAGAGCAAGTTCTGCACGCTCTAGATGAGCCAGATCCTGGTGGACTGCCAACAATTCGAGGTGAGGGGACTAGTTTTAACGCCGAATGCCAATTCAGATGCACATTTGGAAGAAACCAATAACAAAATAAACTGTTATCTAAAGGGGATTTCAAACAATCTAATCCGGAATTAGTCTTGAACGCAACCAAATTCATGTCAAAGTACGCAGTACGTGTGGGCACGCGTATGCCTGATTAACTGGTCTCCAGTCCACACGTTGACGAGTCTTGTGAAACGAGGTCCCGTCCTCATGGACAGGGTAAGGATATATCTACGTGTATTCCCCGACGATAGGTCAAACCACGCCGTCTCTTCGGCTCCTAGAAAATTGGGGTTGTGCTTATCTGAAGGCAGTTGAGTAGAAGCGACATCCTATGTCTTTCCAGTCTGCGGAGCCTATTATGAACACTTTTTTCAGAATGCTGCAGATCAGACAACGATCCAAACCAACAGGCTGGGGGTTCGAACCCCAGAAGACACATTTACTATCATTAAAATGGACCGTCTGGAAACGCCCGCAACACTGTCAGCCGAAGAATTAGGCGTATAAAATTCACAATCGAAGGGGAAATTGACAATTTACTTCCATTCCTGGATGCTCTCACACAATAAAAGACTGTTGAGTTATCTTTCCCATTCGAATGCGTGTTTCAGAATTTTGGTTAAATTTTCATGAGATTATCCATTTATTACATACATATTAAGAAAATCTTAATAACTTTTACGTCATCGCTACCGTCGGTTACTCTGCCCTCGAAAACTTGGAAAAGAGTTTAGTTGGGCAATCAGTAAAAACGTCAGCCGAAATCCAAATGATAGGAACTATGCTAGATTTCAAGGCGTACCGTAGGCCCCGCAGAGAACAATTAGGCATTACACGCTTCCATGTGACGCTTCCGGGTAGATTTTGGATTGTAGCACACATCGTGGAAGTCAATATGCACTTAATCCCCTGATTATTTCAGCGACAAGGATAACTAATCTTGCGCCATCATTGCGCAACACACGTACCGACTCGGCAAAGGACCGAATCTACCTATCAGAATGCATGCTTGTTTGTCAGAGCTAAAACCCCGTTGGCTGGTGTAAATCGTTCTAGAAGCATCCATTACGACACGGGTTACAACAGTGTGCAAAAACTGACTTGTGGTTTCGGCAGCAATTCCGACATGACTGAGGTCAAGGAACTTACTTGCGGAGTTTGCAAGGATTTGTAAGTCTTTTTGAGTTTTTGTCTATCACGATTATCGCTCATGTCACCACTTGCAAACATTGGTCTGGGGGTAATGTATATGAGTATATGACAGTTAGAATGTCAAGGATTGCGAGGTGTATTCGATCTTTCCCATATATTTCGAAATTCTGTTATGACAGTTTGCAGCATGCTCGAACCCATGTGCCCGACTGACTTCTTGGAAATTCTGTATCCGTTAAGGCGCGTCTCCACATGCCTTCTGCTCGCCTTCTGAACCACAGCGGTTGGCCAAAAAACCGTATGTCACATTAAGTCATAAGGTCTGGGTGATATCGCTGTTCTCGCATTATATATACATATAGTTTCCTACCTTACTTGACGGCTTCTGTGACATGCGCCAAGTTAAAACACCTCGAGGTTCAGAAACTATCACCTGGGTGCTTATGTTCGTAAGCAAAGTTTATTTTTTGGGATATTACTCCGAAGTGAAAACCCACACCAAAATTTTCATCCTTTAATTCAATAGCAATGACCTTTCACTTACACGGTTTCGGTAAGCCTTTCTCCTCACTTATTGGCTTACAATTCTCCCTGCGATTTGTACCACTGCGTACAAAGGCATTTGCGGCTTTGGCAAGTTTCTCAACGGCTCTGTATCAATGTTGTTGGATGAAAGATTGATACTTTTACGACATTTTATTCTGACTCAGCTGTCAAAACTCGGTGACTTTAGCGGGATCCGAGCTCACGACAGCGAGTGAAAGGCTTGAATACAGTCATCTGAGCCACAATACCCCAGTGGGGGTCAAGGTCGCGAATTTTTCACGGTTGGGTCAAAATAAACCATTTAAAATCCGACAAAACACGCCTTTGCAAAGTCATTTGAGCTGCTGCAGACCTACCGAAATTGCCATCCACAGTGGCTCGTCTGTGGTCGTTATATAGCGAGATTTGTTGAAAAATTGGATTTGTAACTCCTAAATACAAACTGTTTAACCTATATGCTTTGTTTGCTGCCTTATCTTGTACAGCTACGATGGAAATTACCATGAAAAATTTCGTTCTTAGCTGCTGACGCGTTATATCAGTGTCCGTCTCCATTCTGGCATTTTATTTTCTTCTTCTCCCCCTTTTTACGCCAGTTTTCGAAACCCCTATCTCCTGCCATGTGGTCACAGTTTCTGCAGGCGGCCATGCCTTCTTCCGACCGCCTCGTCCACCTTCGGGAAATGTATCTACTGTCACATTGCGGTTCACGAGTCTAAATTGGAGGAAAACGACGAGTTGGACAAACGTACGCAAACCTATTTAGCCGAGAGAGGAAACCAAGGATCTCGACGTATGGTCTGCCATTTATGCAGGGATCTGCATGACCACTGCGAGACGTGCCCTCACTGCGATCGGCAGCTTTGTGACCTTTGTTTCAGGGAACACGTTGACGAGGTAGTTTTTGTTAACTCCTTCTGACTGGCCGTAAGTCAGTTGGCATTTCTGCCCATCTCCTCCTCCTCCTCCTCCTCCTCCTCCTCCTCCTCCTTCCCCTCCTTCGAATCCCCCTCTCCCTTATTTTTTTCTTCTTCTTTTTCTTCTTCTTCTTAGCCCGGACATTTTGAAGCAACGAAGGTGTTGTCATAGTCTTCTTTCTCTTCCTCCTCCTCCTCCTCCTCCTCCTCCTCCTTCTCCTTCTCCTTCTCCTCCTCCTCCTCCTCCTCCTCCTCCTCCTTCTCCTCCTCCTCCTCCTCCTGCTCTTTCCTCTTCTTATTTTTCTTCTCCATCTCGCTTTCATCTTGTCTGTCTTACAGCCTGCGAGAGCTGTTTCTATCGAAAGGGGATAGTACATTAGTTCTACAAAATGTCAAAATTTGCAAATGCTGGTCTTGACACGTCTATTGCGTTTGGGAGTTGTTGGCCCGTGATAAATAAGTTAGCCAAATTTATGTCACCGGAACTCCCGAATTTGTTTCATGTGGGCTGACCTAATTCAAATTATATGAGCCTATTTTATTCCTTCCAGACAGAACCCTTAATCTTTGAGCCGTTTGAGAGAAAAGGATATATCTAGTACCGAAATATGTGAGTATGTGTCTACAATTTCACACCTGTACAGAAGTTCCTTCTTAAGAACTACGAAGGAAGTTGAGATTTTACGAAATGATTCGATATGATATATAGAAGTAAGTGGTCTTCGGAAGTTTCGATATTGATGGCATAAATGTTGGTCAGAAATGTTGACGTCATCGACTTCGCCTCAGTTACGATAGGAAGACTGCAACTATGCGACTTCTTCCAATTTTTTTCTTTTCATGCAGCATTTTGTCGTATACGAAGAGGTCGAACCCTTCTAAATTTTGCCAGTCAATCCACCAAATGTTAGACTGACACGAAGGGTAGATGACTTTATGAATTTGGCAGTTGAAAGATTATCGCCTTTGGCGGATATCGATGACAATATCATGAAAATTGTTTAGTCTAAAAACGAAACCTAGAACAATTTGAAAACCCCAAAGTAATATCGAAACCCAATTATCTCCACTGAAGCACGAAAAATTGTCAGAAGATGGGAGTTTACTAAAGTCCTATTTTATAATTGGTCTGATCGATTAACACATCGAAAGTACACTTATTGACAAAATCTTTAAAATTTTCCCAAAACGCGCAGTCCTATGTTGTTAGACCTGGTCGGCGACGGTTCATTATGCCCTCATAGGTAAGGCTTCACAACATGCATTAAAAGAAAATGTTGAGGTTTGCTTCAGAGACACAGTTCGGTACACACCCAAGGCACAGAACTGCATCACACGGCCAGCTCGTCAACGGGACCATTTTTCTGTTGATACCCGCCTGACAACGGCCCCCGAAAGCATTTGGCGGATAGACAGCACGTCCGTATTTTTTGCGCCCACTACGTAATTCATTAGTGCTTTGTCGTTGAAAACGTAGGTATCCAGGGGAATTGATGATTAATCGATTGAAATGTCGTCTCCTTAAGATAAGCAGCCGGTGACTAAGGTTGATTGTTTTATCCGGCATCACTAGTGCAATTCGTTGATTATCGACGACGATTGATTAGAACACATGGGGTTGGATACCCCAATTACTTACCCTATGTTGTATGCTTTGTCATACTGTGACCAGTTTTAAAGTTTCGGCACTGATCCATCCATGCATTTTTTCAGTTAACGCCAGTGTCTTCTTTGTGTTTTGACATCTTCTCATAGGGAGTCTTAAACGCCAAAACTGCTGTGATTTGCGTTTATTTAAAGATAAGCCTTGGCAGATAGATAAAAGGTGAGCGGCGCACGGAAATTCTGAATAACTGCTGCTACTGCGAATTAATATGAAAAACTGTGACAGAGGAGATTAAACGCTAAAACAGTGACAATTAAGACTCAATTCAATTACTTCAAGGTGCCGGCTTTTGACCTGACTTCTTTCTGGCTGCGGGCAAAAACTACGCTCTGTAAAAATTACTACTTATGTAGCATGCCTTTTCCCCATTGAATTCTGATCTTTAAAAGTTCAATGATATTTGATGGGAGACATGAATAACAATATTCATTCTCCCCCTCATTCTATAGAAATTTACGTATGCTGCTAACTTTACACTTGAAGAAAGGGTATAATTCGGTTTTAAAAACGTTTCTACTTGTGAGATTTTTTAACACTGTGAAATGGCCGTTCATAAAACTTCAAGTCTCTGCATTTACTAATGTGGCTTGTAAAATTAACAATATGGCTCAAATCCGCTGCTAAATTGTATGAATCGTATGTGGTCTCCTCTTAATACTGTAGGGAATACATACTGTAGGGAAAATATACGGCTTGTAATTCAGAAACCCTGAATGCAAGTGTAACGGCAGGTCGAGGTTCAAAATTATTCGGGGATTGGACAAGATTTTGAGGACCGAATTATGCCCTTGCTTTGGATTTACAATTGAAGGACGTAATTTTATACTAAATGGGTATAAGAATGAATATTTTTATGCATGTTTTCCATGAAATATAATTGAATTTTTAAGGGCATCGGAAATTAATGGGAAAAATGCATGCTATTTAAGTAGTTATTTTTTTGAAGAGTGTAGTTTTTGCACGCAGCCGGAAAGAAATCAGTTCGAATGCCGGCACCTTGAGGTAACTGAATTATTATAGAATCATTCTGCACGACTATTAGTTTTACAAACCTACTTAATTAATCTTTTCAAAACGAAAACCTATTTCGGAATTTCGGTCGACATTTCATGAGTTAGCTTACCTACTGTATATTGATTACTCGTCCTTACGTGACTGTTTGTGTTAGCTCTAGACTGGAGTCCAAAATAAAGCAACTTCTGCGAACAATGCTTTCTATTTTAAAACTGGGCTTTTTTTCCATCTGACCGTTATTGCTGCCCCATGTATTGCCCACAATTCTTTTTTTATCGTCTCTATAGCTTCAAAAACGGCTTAAAAGAAAATTTAAAGTTCTTCGGGACGCTGCTGACTCTCTTAAACAGGCCCGTGAGGCTCTTATTTCTCGTCGAACATCGAGCAGTCGAGGTGATGAGCTTTCCAAGCGCATAGACGCTGCAACTATCGCTCTGAAGTCTGCCTGCGAAGGCGCCTTCTTGAGAGCCGAAACGCGTTTAAATAGCATTGGGTTGCGAACGAAGGACAGACGCTTCCCTGCAATAGATAAAGGACATCTTTGAAGAAGAAGAAGAGTCGAGCACCGGAACAATTCGTTTATTATCCTGAGCTTTCAGACTCGTACAGGAGTCCATCGTCAGAGGTAGTGGCAGAAACAGGACAAGCGGCAGTTATAAGGCACGTAGACCCAATCATCGACCGACGTCGCACGACTGGAGGTGACTACGAAGGGCTCTGTACGCCGGCGCCAGATCGATAAATCGATTGACCGAGTTCTCATCCGAGGCCCAGGCTTCAATCAATTCTCGGCCTGTTTTGTTTCCGGCGTGGGCGACTATTTTGGTGGCAGCGAAGTCAAACTGGTGACCCATTTCGTAGGTGTGGGCGGCCACTTGTGACAATGCGTCGCCTCGCCGCACAGCCAGCTTATGTTCATGTATGCGCGATCCGAGCATGCGTCCAGTCTGTCCTGTGTAATTACAAGGACAATTTTGACACGGAATGCGATACACTACTCCAGATTGCTCTTCAGGTTTTAACCGGTCTTTGATCTTCATGACCCTGTTGCGCATGGTGGCTTTGGGGCGGTGTGCGATTCCAACCCCTAGCTCCGCAGCAATGCGCTCGGTCGCTTCTGAAACACCCTTGATGTATGGCAGAGCATGCCATATCGTCGGTGGCGTTGATGTCTGAGTTCTCTGGTGGCGACCGCGTAGGCAGCGACTTATGAATGCCCTCGGATAGCCATTTTGCACAAACTGGTCGCGGAGATAACGGGCCTCACGCGCTCTGTCTTCCAGTTTGCTGCAATGAGTTTGGATCCGTTTGAAGAGCGTCTTCACACAGCTTCGTTTGTGGGCCACCGGATGGTTGCTGTGAAAACTGAGAAGCTGTGTGGTGTTCGTTGCCTTCCTATAAACCGTCGTTTCAAGTTCACCGTTAAGGTTTCGTCTGACGAGCACATCCAGGAAGGGCAACTGCTGCTCCTGTTCTTCTTCTCTAGTGAATTTTATATCCGGGAAGACTGCGTTGAGCAGGCTGTGAAAATGTTGCAGCATGTCCTTCTTTACGATGACGAACGTGTCGTCAACGTAACGTCGCCAAAACACCGGTTCATGTTGGAGGAAGGCAATCTTTTCCAACTCCTGTAGGACCAGTTCTGCCACCAAACCGGAGACCGGTGAGCCCATAGGGGTTCCCTTGATTTGTTCATAGGTCTCTCCCGCAAAAGTGAAGAAAGTTTGTTGGCAGAATTCAAACAGCCTCATGAGGTGTTCAATTTTGAGGGCATTCTGAGTCGCACACCGCCCCAAAGCCACCATGCGCAACAGGGTCATGAAGATCAAAGACCGGTTAAAACCTGAAGAGCAATCTGGAGTAGTGTATCGCATTCCGTGTCAAAATTGTCCTTGTAATTACACAGGACAGACTGGACGCATGCTCGGATCGCGCATACATGAACATAAGCTGGCTGTGCGGCGAGGCGACGCATTGTCACAAGTGGCCGCCCACACCTACGAAATGGGTCACCAGTTTGACTTCGCTGCCACCAAAATAGTCGCCCACGCCGGAAACAAAACAGGCCGAGAATTGATTGAAGCCTGGGCCTCGGATGAGAACTCGGTCAATCGATTTATCGATCTGGCGCCGGCGTACAGAGCCCTTCGTAGTCACCTCCAGTCGTGCGACGTCGGTCGATGATTGGGTCTACGTGCCTTATAACTGCCGCTTGTCCTGTTTCTGCCACTACCTCTGACGATGGACTCCTGTACGAGTCTGAAAGCTCAGGATAATAAACGAATTGTTCCGGTGCTCGACTCTTCTTCTTCTTCAAATATGTATACACCTGGAACTCGAAATTTCGCCTTCATTCATAAAGGACATCTGATTGAACTTGCAGCCAAATTACTTCGGACTGTGGATAGTCCCATGCAACGCAAGGTAAGAAATCCATCATGTCAACGCACATTTATGGGGGACATGGCGTCTTCCCGATTCACTGGTAATATTCTGTCCATCCACATACTGTTTTATACATTCGAGCCATCGGTTAGTAGCGCAGTTTGTTGTCGGGTAATGAATACGGCCGATAACAGTTTTTTCTGAAAGAAATAAAACGGGGTGGTTACCTTTGCATCATTCTGTGCTGCATCGGTCAAAGGTGGTAGAGAAGGAACACATCTCAGTATTTCAGTAGATTTCAGGCAGATTGTTATTACCAACAAAGACAAGAGAGAATGGAATGACCATTTCCGGCTTATTAGCCGTCGTCAGTTAGTCGCACCCAACCCCAAAGTGTAGAACACCTGGGGCTCGAACTCTCGACCTGTCAGTTGGAAATCCAAAGCCTCTAACCACTAAGCCATGGGTGAGTTGACCTGTAGGTTTTGATCGGGAAAATACAGTGGTAGACGGGAAAACGAGCCCGTGGCTCAGTGCTTAGAGGCGTTGGACTTCCAACTAACAGGTCGCGAGTTCGGGCCCCAGGTTTGCCACACTTCGGGGTAGGGTACGACTGGCTGACGACAACTAATATGCCGGAAATGGTTATTCCAGTCTCTCTTGTCTTTGTTGGTAATAACAGAGCCTTAGTCATCTAGCCTAAAAAACGTCTGATATTGGTGCCCACCATCTGTATAGTGGATATTCAACCTGCTCCTCATCCAGCCCCTAATGAGCCCCTCATCAATAGAAAAATAGCAGTTCTCAGGTGTGCCAACTCATGAAATGTTAAGCGAAATCCCGAAATGCGTTTTGGATTCGAAAAGGTTACTAATGCAGCAAAATCCTATAATAATTTGATTACTCCAGGATGCCAGCTTTTGAATGAACTTTGTTCTGGTCGTCTGCCAAAACTACGCTCTGTAAAAAAAAGACTACCTAAGCATGCATTTTTCTCAGTGCTTTTCAATATCTTTATATATTCATGTAGTTCTTATAGAACTTTATCTTTTGCTCATTTGGTAGAAAATTGCGTCTTCTTCAAATTTTATACTTGTGGGAAGAGCATAAATCAGTTTCAGAAACTTTCTAATTGTGAGACTTTTTAAGACCGTTAAATGCCCATTCATCAAACCTCGTGTCTCTGCACTTACCAAAGTTGCAATATGGCCCGAATTCACCGCTACATTTTATGAACTCCATATGGTCTCCTATTGATACCATAGAGAAATGTATGGGTTTTCGTACACGGGAAGGATACGACTTGTATTTTGGAAACGCTGAATGCAAATGCAACGGCAGATGGGTTTCAAAATTATTCTCTAATCGGAAGAAGTTTTCGAAAACCGAATTGCAACCTCCCTTTGAGTATAAAATTGTAAGAAGATATAAATTTCTACCGGATTAATAAAAGCCCGAATATTTTGATGCATGCTTTCCATGAAATATAATTATATTTTTAAGGGCATTGAAAATCAGTGCGAAAAACTCATGTTATTTAGGTAGTCGTTTCCACAGAGTATAGTTTTTGCGGGCGGCCAGAAGGAAGTTCGTTCAAAAGCTGGCATTCTGAGGTAAATGAATTATGATGGAATTATGCTGCAGGATGATTATTATCACAGCCCTACTTAAGCACTATTTTCGAGTCAAAATGCATTTCAGATTTTTTGCTAGCATTTTATGAGTTAACAAATATACAGTTAATTAACTCCCGTTTCCAAAACCTAGCTATTAACACATCTACATAGTTTGGACAGCTTTCTTTCCCTTTCTAGGGTGTCCTCGGGTTGTGTAAATTGAGAAATGCGGCACTAAATGCCATTAACGCACTCGCGGTTTCCAGCCGGCTGGCGTCCGGATACGGCCATCCTGCCATTTGTGATTTGACTGTGGCTGACAATTTGCAGTCTGTAAGTTTACGCTTTTTCGTGTGTTTTTTTTCTACTACCAAATGCCTTTTCAACTTACCTTCGCTAGATGTCCATCGTCGTTCATCTGACTAATGCCAGGAGTCCCACACCCACCTTCTTCAGAATTATAAAGCTGGCATGCCCTTTAGCCTTTTCAAACACTAGGAAGTCCTACTTTGTGTAAATCATCTTCCAATCATTTTAAAATGCACTTCCCGATGCATTATGCTCCGTCGTAGATGTCGCTGTTAGATCCATTAGGAATTTTCTATTTTGCCGTAGGCTTTCAGCGCACCTTGGGCAGCTACTCTACAGACTGGGTACGTGTAGCAGTCAGAATAAGAGCAATAATCTAATAAATAATCAAAACCTCAGACTAGATATAGTATCCCACATTTTTCAACATGATCTTAATCTTGAGTCCTGGTTCACGGGACCTCAGTCTATCAACAAGTGCAACGACATCCCCAATCCATATTTAGTGCTGAGGCATAGGCTGGCAAAGGTAATTAACCACTCGGGGAGCGCGCAAGCCGGTGAGCCCGATGGCCGAGCAATCATCACGCTAGCGTCCGACACGGGTGATGATATTTCAGCAATTAACAACTTGCATGTCGGCCATCAAGCAATTATCGCACCAGCGGCAGCCATCCTTGATGAAGGCGAGCGCGGTTAATTGCTATAGGTATGCGGTAGCATAGCGACTGCATCCTGTAAATACTGCGATTTCCTGTGCACGAGTCACCATTTTCTGCCACTGTCCCTGATGATGGATTCAAGTGAGAATCCGAAACGTCAGGCAAATAAAGCCCTTGTTCCAGCGAGCGTTTCTTCTTCTTCTTCTTCTTCTTCTTCTTCTTCTTCTTCTTCTGATGATCTCTTCTTTTGTTCATTTTAATGGGCTGGAACACCTCCGTGGTCAGAGCAGTAAACTGATCCAATTTAATTGAGGTTGAGACCCACAAATACCTCTGGAAATCTTAATACTTTGACAGCATTACACTAAAGAACGCCTTTCCATCACAGCTTGGCGCCAAGTTGGATAGCATGAATCTTCTTGTGGATGAGAGATCGGTGGAGTCCGAGTCGGATCCTGCAACAACTACCTGCGGCAATCCACCGAAAGCCGGCGGCTCTCATGATTCACAGTCTGCTGTCAATTCTACTTCATTTAAAAGGTGATTTTTGTCAACTGAAGATTTTCTGTTTTTCGTTTGTACTGCTAATTACTGGATTCAGTTAGGATGAAGCAGGATTGGCTTGTAGTAAAACCACACTAAAAAAGCGGGAGATTTAACGGTAGGACATAGGAATAACTACCCTCACCCTCCTGTGACATGTAGCTCAGCGTTGCATTTCAGGGGAGGGGGGTTAATGTTAGTGGTGGGTAACTGATCCATAAACGGAATAGTTGGAAAGAGGACAAGTGGCTGAATGGCCGCCAGTGTGGTTCTTCTCACAGGGACTATCGATCGCTTTCTGTCACAGTTGTTGTTAGATGCTCATCTGGGCTTTTCAAATGTATTCATGTCGAGGACAGCCTTATCTATTTTGCCAGGTGGTAGAAAATGCTAGCCGCAAGGTCGATTCCTTGGTAGAATAATGACATTTAGTGAGGATTCCTTTGCTGCCAGATAGGCAACATCGGAGTTATTGTCTCTTTTTCATTTAAAGTAAATGATCTCTGCTGTTTCAATGCGAATAATAGAAAATGGAGGAATAGTAAAGAAACAGAAACAGTCTACCGTTCGGTGGGGAAAAACGGCTAGCATTCTAAGAGCCCAGGAATTTATCTGCCACTGAGTCATGGTCAACAAATCTGACAAATATGCGACTCTCTAATATCCACCCCACAACCGAAGTTATCTGAAATGTTTATTCTTTTATGCCACAATACGAAACTTGCGGTGGCTGCATATTTACCCTAGTCAAAAGACGTGGCTTGGATTGTATTTGGTTGGCCAACTGATTAAGCAAATGCAAAAATTGTTATAATCGAATTGCTACTACAATTTACTATACAGGAACTATGCCATAATCGTTTGTAGACTACCGGGAACCAATAACAAACAGAACATCTCCATGAAACCACAACTTTCGGTGCCCAAATTCGAGACTCCGACGCAGACGACTTCCACCCAAACCCGACTCACTCAATGGCTGCAGAAGAAACAGCAACAGAGGAAAGCTCAAAGAGAGAAATCCACAAAACGGCCGAAATCAACAATGGCAACGGCATCAACACCAAGACAGAGGCAGTGTGAAAATCAAGGAACCCCGTCAGGAAGAGCAACATCAGCAAAGCCAACAACGCGACAGCAGCAAGCGTCGCAGCAACAAATAGGCCTGGCAGTACGACGGCCTGCCAGTACACCACGGAGAGCTCTGACATTACTCTTAACTGGCCTGAAGGCTACTATCAGCAGGAATGATTTGGTGACCCATTTTGGACGTTTTGGGGAGGTGTTGAGCGTACAAATGCATAA